AGAGAGAGAGAGAGAGAGAGAGATATCAGCTGGCCCAGGGAAGAGAAAACAATGTGACCAAAACAAAGGTGGGTGACTTTTTAGTTCGCGGCCCTCAGGCCAGTCTTTCATCGTTTTTGTTCAGACATTCCTCTAGGTCGTATAGCCCTGGTGTACAAGTTGCCGTCCCGTCCCGGGGTCACTTGTGGTTGCTGTGAGGCTGAACACTGTGACATGGATGTGTCAAATGCGTTAATGGTTAGCTACCCAATGCGGACAGAGAGTGGGGTGAAGCTCCCCGATTGAACAAGCGTGGAAGGGGGAGTGGCGTCCACTTCCATAATAGCTTGCCTCCAGAAACCCTATGAACCTGGAGAGAGGATGAAAGGCACCCAAGCGTCAAGGACTCTCCTTCATAGGGTCACTATGAGTCGCCTGGGACTCGAAGGCACTTAACAACAACAACAACAACATAGAAATATGAGACAAAGTAAGGCAATTACTTTTGCTAACATCAGCGGTCTGGTGGCTTTGTGGTGAGGGGTTGTGCTGCCAGCCCAAGGCTTACAGTTCAAATCCACCAGCAGCTTCTTTACAGAGAGATGGGCAATCTCCTCTAATGCCTCTGAAAACCTGCTGAAGGGTCAGCTCAACACAGACTCGATGGTACACACACAGGGACAACAACTTTGTGGATAAAGGATAATTGAAAAATGCTGGGAGAAGAGCGGGCAAGACTGGGTTACATTCTCACAAGTATTTCAGTACAGAGAAGCACAGGTTAGGTAGTTCACCTAGTTTCTATTAGAATGCAGGAGCTGTGTATCCTATTTGTTTGAATATTTCTTCCATAATACAAATAATACAAGTGGTATTGTTGCTATTAGGTACCAATGAAGAGAGTATGGCTCTCAATGACCCCATGAACAACCAATCTGAATACTGTCCTATCCCATGCCGTCCTCACAATCTCTAACACTTTCAAGACCAGTCAAGGAAGAGGCTTTAAATAACAGAAATGTATTCCCTCACGATTACTTACCTTTTATAATTGTTCATGTTCTTATTGTTTCTTTTTCCTAGTTCTGTCAAATGTCTACAGTCATCACAAAATAATAGGTAAAAATAAACATAAACTTCTCTTTTTTGTGTGTGGAAATGACATTCACCTTGACTTCTAGGTTAAACAAACAGCAATAGTGGAATGGATTTTAGAGTCCATTTATCACACAAGTAGGAAAACAGTCATCCGTTAAGCTTTCTGTCCTCACAAATACTTACCTTTAGTGGGAATTCCTTATTAAAATGACTTTCTGTTAAATGAAGTATGGGAATTTTCATATGAGTATAAACCACATTTCAGAAAAAGTATCACCACGGTGTAGCTGTTATATTGTCAACAAGTATTACCATTTGTAGAGTCTTCAGACTGGACTCTAGAGGACACTTTTTTACTTACTTTAAATGGTTTAAATTTCATGTGCTCTGCACTCTGGGGATAGTATCCCTAACGTCACTTTATTGTAATCTACTTTTTCCTCCCCTCTGAACATAAGAAAATTAGCTATCTCTTTCATAAACGTATCCTTTGGGACATCAAAGCTCAGTGGAGAGTGAAGTACAATATTCTCAATGATCTTTTTTTTCCTGTTACCTACCTGTGCCATCAAATTGTCTGTGACTCATAGCGAACCTATGCACAGTAGCTCTGAACCCTGCCTGAGCTCTGAACTCTTCCGAGTCCATCTCACTGTCTCCAACACATCTGTTCCCATAACCCCAGTTACTGTGTCAATTCATCTCATCCAAGGTCTTCCTGGTCTAGTACTGTTCCTTCACCCTTCCAGTTAGGACGTCCTTCTCCAAGAACAGGTCTCTCCTGG